TAATTATATTAATTAATATAAAACAATTATATTATTTTTTTTAAACAAAGAAAATTAATAAGCATGACTCCTTTTGTTAAAAGTGGAATACAATAACAGGTAAAATAGCATCTATAAACCACAAAGGTTTGTAAATAATGCTATAATCTACATCGATATTCCAGGTTTGTTAAAGAAATATAGAATATACGTAATACGAGTATTACATTGTGTTGCAAATAGTTTAAAAATCGGGCTAAATTTATAATTTTGATAACTTAGGTAATTAAATAACTAGAAGCTTGGTGTCAAGATCACTGTTAAGTAGGAAGTAATTATGATAGTAATTTTGTTTTAATATTTTCTCGTAATATTATTATTTAGTTGTAACGTTATTTTTTTATTTTTTTATGGTTAATAATATTAATGTATACATAAAATCACATTACACTATTGTTCATTTTAAAATTCGCTTAATAGATTTTCTGTATAAGTACATAGATATAAAAATTATTATTTTAAAAGCCCATAGTTGCGACAATGACGTTTTCTTTATCTCAAAACGATAGAACTACAGAATACTATTGTATCGGACATCGATAATATCACTGTTGCTTCATCTTATATTTGTGATGCTTTAGAGTGCAATAACTTAGTAAAGGTATCTAATATGTCCATTAATATTATTGCGCAAAACATACGTAGTGTATACAAAAACATTGATGGCTTTATGGCATACATATCGCAACTATCTTTTGAACCGGATATAATAATTTTAACCGAATGTCGCCTAGAATTGAATAAGCCCGTTCCACGTCTTCCGGGTTATAAATGCCATTTTTCAAAAAAATGTCTTAATCAAAACGACGGTATAACCGTTTATACCAAGCATAGTTTTGATTGCATAATTACAGAACCTGAACCAACGGGTGCTAATTATCTATTAATTAAAATAAACCCAGATATAGTCATTTTAGCGGTATATAGGTCTCCGTCGTTTTACTATATTGATAGTTTTCTAAATACCCTAGAAAGTATTATTCGACCAATAAAGGCTAAAAACATCTTTCTTATTGGCGATATCAATATTAACATTATAGAAGGCAATGAGGATAAACATAGTGAACCATATTTAAATCTAGCTGCTGGATTGGGTCTCTTGCCTGGTCACACTTACCCCACACGCATAAAAAATTGCTTAGATCATGTAATGGCCAAAACGATATTGAACACCAAAATAATAGTCATGGATAGTACTATCACAGACCACGCCTTAATTCTTACCCATCTATCTTTAGATTCCAAACGTAAGCCTGATAATATTATCATTGATAAAATTAACTATAAAAATGCCATAAAATCAGTTGAAGCAGTAGATTTTTCATTCATATCTCCTACTTGTAATGCAGACATAGCAGCTCATGAATTCGTCCACATATTATCATCGGCTGTAAAAAATAACACAACAAAAATTAAGCTACCTAGATCTAGACGTACTCTTAAAGCATGGATGACGCCTGGCTTGATCAAATGCATCCGCCACCGTGATAAACTACACCAAAATCTTAAAAAAAACCCTGATAATGAGATACTTGAAATTTCTTACAAACGGTACAGGAATTTTTGTAATTCATTGTTAGGAAAGCTCAGGCGCCAACATGAAACACATCTTTTAAAGAGTGCCAAAAGCAGTAAAGAAACTTGGTCTGTCATTAAATCTATCTCAGGACGTAATAATATAAATAATTACGCTGATAATCTAATTAGGGAAAATCCTACGGTTTCAGTTGAGAGAGCGAATCATTATTTTTCTAATCTAGGTAAAAAATTAGCAGATAAAATAATTGAAAATCGTGGTCAACGTACAGTTACAAGTTCGACCCACAGATCTCTTAACTCATTTGTGCTCTATCCACCTGACGAAACGGAGGTAGAATCTACTTTGTTAAGTCTTAAAAATGATTGTGCTGTTGGGTGGGATTCTATCTCTGCCGTTTTTCTTAAAATGATAAAAGATATAATTATATTACCGCTTACCAATCTCTTTAAAATTTGTTTTGAACAAGGATGCTTTCCAAAGGTGTTCAAAAGGTCTCTCATTACTCCTGTATACAAGAGTGGAGCTCGAGACAGTGTCGAAAACTACAGACCTATCTCTGTGCTGCCAGCTCTTTCGAAAATATTGGAAAGGCTGTTGAATAACCGTTTGGTAAAATTCCTGACCAAATACAATATTCTATCAAGCACGCAATTCGGTTTCAGAACGGGTAATAGCACAGAAGATGCGGTAAAAGGCTTGACAGAATTTGTAACCAATAAGTTGGACAAACAAAAAAAATGTTTGGGTGTTTTTCTTGATTTAGCAAAGGCTTTCGACACCGTCTCGATTCCCATTCTTGTACACAAATTGGAAAATATCGGAATTAGAAATTCGGCCCTTTCTATTTTTAAAAGCTTCTTAAGTCACCGAGTGCAGAGAGTTAAGATTAGAAATTTCATCAGTTCAGATACTAGTGTCACTTTTGGTGTCCCTCAAGGAAGTATCCTAGGGCCAAGTCTTTTTTTAATTTATATTAATGACTTTTGTCGTATGCCATTAATACATGGCAAATTATTCACTTATGCCGATGATACGGCTATAATATTTTATGGAGAGACTTGGGCTGACGTTCAGGTGATTGCTGAAAGGGGTCTCCAATGTGTGGGACAATGGCTTGAGGACAATTTACTAACACTAAACGTATCTAAATCAACGTACTTACAGTTCCGTATTACCAATACTCCAGCTGTTGAGGATATTGAACTGAAAGTACATTTTTGTGATCTAAAGTCAACAGACAAATGCTCTTGCCTTAATATAACTAGATGTAAAACTGTAAAATACCTCGGCGTATTGTTAGACGAAAAACTTAGCTGGCTCCCACACATTGATCTTATTTCATCCCGGACTCGTATACTTATTTGGACATTTAAAAAGCTAAGACACATTGCTGATTTTGATTTATTGCGCACAGTATACTTTACTTTAGCACAATCAATTATAGGCTATTGCATAAGTGTCTGGGGAGGATCGTGCAAAAGTTTTTTAATTAAGCTCGAAAGAGCACAAAGATGTTTATTAAAAACTATGACTTTCAAACCTTATAGGTACTCAACAAAATTATTATACAGCGAATGCAAGTTGCTGTCTGTCAGGCAATTATACGTTCAAAATTTGATCACCAAGCAACACGATCGCACTCCCTACGACCCCGAGATCTGTCGTAATAAACGTAGAATACCCAACGTACTGGCACCGTTTAGATGCCGCACTGTTTTTGCTAGACGACAAAGCGCATATCTCTCTATAGTACTCTATAACAAACTTAACAAAATTCTAAATTTCTATCCTCTTTCAAAACACGAGTGTAAAATTAGAGTTCGTGATTGGTTGTTGTCATTAGATTACAATAAAACAGAAAATTTATTAATTTAATTTGATTTAATTTAATTTATTAATTTAATTTATAGTTTCAAAATAAATAAATAAACAAAAACAGGGAAGTGATTAATGTGTGGACAATTAATATTAACGTTTCGTTTATGGTTATGCATAATTTATATATGAACTTTAATATTTATATATGTATATATATATATATATATATATATATATATATATATATATATATATTTGATAATTATATAAGTATATATACACATATATATGTGTGTGCTCGTCTTGTATATATGTATATTAAATATATGTATAGTATAGATGTTTAGTATTAAATATAACACATAGAATACTTTATTATATTACAACTTTTATCATTTTTTGATTTAATTTTGTAAATTTGTTAAATTTGTAAAGTTGTTTACTTTTCTTTTGTTTCAACAATGAAAACATGCATAGTTCTTTTAGTATTACCCGTTCTTTTAGTACAACTCTGGGAGAGGCCGCTGACTCCTAAGATACAGACTCGTCTAGTTTAGGAGTCAGAGACTTCATAAAATTTCTTGTGATTTATTTTTGACAATAAAAGAATTATTATTATTATTATTATGTAAATTGTTTATTAATCGGGGAACTAAATAAGTAGCCGATCGTTTGCTGTAAATGTTGTTAGCACGGGTAGTTTAAAACCAATTTTATCCAACTGATCGCTTGTATACGGAATGTTTAATTTTTTTCAGTAAGTTTCTCGTTAAAGAATTATTCCTAGAGTAAGCTATACGAGTATTTAAATTGTGAATAAATGCGTAAAATTTTACAATGTTTAAATAATTTAACGTTATCGCTTTGAAATCTTTCTTTAATGTTTGGAGATATTATGTGTTTAAGAATTTTTAGTTGAAGCCTATACATACATACCTGTATATGTGATTAAGATATGTTTTATATGCCCATAACTACTGAGCCCGTATTGTATAAAAGATTCAGCTAATGAGTTTATAAAGCATTAACTTATCTTTGAAGGGTATGCGGTTCTTAAGAATTATAATATAAGTTAAAAATTGCCGTAGATTATTACAAACGTATTCTATATGAATGTTAGTCTCCATCGAGTATACCAATACAATTATTTGATTACTATGTCATTAAGATATTCATCAATAGAATAGCAAGATTTATTAATTAATAATGTTTTTAATGATTTTTGAAGCTTTGTGTATTATTTATTTTCTTTATATCATTGGGTATTTTATTATAGATAGGTATGAATAGGCAAAATATACTTTTTCGCATTTTTATTGACTTTGACTGTTGAACTTTTAATCTCAGAGGATACCTATTATTTCAATTTTCGAACAATGATAGGTTTCTATGGACAAACACAGCCGTCTCATAGATAAAAAGACAGGGAAAAGTTAGAATTTGCAGCTCTTTAAAATGTGGTTTACAGCTGTCCGTCCAGTGTAGATTTTCGATTGCTCGAATGCACCTTTTTTGAGCTTTGAATACCTTGTCCCGATCCACTGAGTTTCCCCAAAACATACATACATAGACGATTTACTAAACAATCTGTTTAAATACCTACCAAAATGATGCGAGGGACTGCACAATCAACAGCATGACCCAGTTGACGGAGATGCTGGCGATGCCGTTGAGTACAGCCGACGAGATGAGCGCAAAGAGCAGTACCCGACGCCGTCCGAACTTGTCTCCCAAGTATCCACCAATAATGGCACCCGTTATTTCACCTATTTAAATGCTATACTTTAACGAGCAATTCCTATGTACACGCACTAACCTACAAATGTAATTAGTTTCTCGAAAAAGACTCTAACCAATTTGATGAAATTTTGAATCTAGATAATATTTCATGTATGTGTTATACAAGTTCATTTAGATATGTGTGATCCGTGAGAATTATTTTTCTAATGTCAAGTTATATTTGGTTACCCAGGAACTGAGGTTTATTTGACTATAAGAAGCTCTGACGTGATGTACTGCTACCTAGGTACTTAAATTATCCATTTATTTATCTAAACAGTGACAGAACAGTGCCGTCCCTCCTGATGGTAAATGGTGATGCAGCCGAAGATGGTAAAACGCGCAGACTTAGCTTGAAATTTGGCGCAGGTCTTACCTCGGCAACATCCCGCGGGACACTGGTAATAGGCTTGGGCAAAAAATATCGATACATCAAAATATCGATATTTTCTGATTAAAATATCGATACATAAAATCGATATTTTTAATCACGATATATCGATATTTATTAAGAGTATCGAATTCGTATCAATTTTAATATATTTTAAAATGTTGTGTTAATGGACAAAACATGAAACAACGAAAGGAGCTACAAAAAAGCATTCATGTATGGTTTTTTTCGTCGTCCAACCGTCAGTAATTAAAAGGACAATGTCCAAACTCGCCTAAGAACCAACATATATTTGACTATTACCAAAATTCTTATCCTTAATTATGCATTAGATAATATTCATTAGATAGTAACGGACACTTCTGACTTGTGAAATCAAAATAAAAAGGACTTTTTCGATTTTGAACTTTGTACCTATATTTTAATACTATTGTGCTTCGTGTATGGCCTCTTGTGATTTGGCCAATCGCACAATACCTTCATTCACATTTTTCAAAAGTTGTCATAAACTCAAATATATTATGAAAACGATTATATTTTAAAATATATCTCAGATTAATATATGCCACAAGCAACTGGGATACAGTAAAATCATCTATTTTCATTAAAAATAACAATACTTTTGTCATCTCATTGGCAAATCAGCATTGTGCCACGCAAAAAAAAAGTCAAAAACGTTGACAGATGGCAACAAGTCAAAATAGATAGACGTCGGGCGTGCTATTGTTTTTGTTCCGTTTGAAAAAATACATTTCTGTAAATGTTTTAGGAATCTAAGTGCACTCTGTAGTTGCTTTGTATGCGATAAGTTTATATAAATTACGAACAACGGCTTGAACAACGGATACGATGTTTCATAAACATAAAACATAACCTCAAAATCTCTATGATAACTGCAAATATCTAAGTTTTCAGAAGTGTCCGTCAGGAGTTATTGTTCTTACATACAATTATGTGTAATTTCGGACTTAAAAAGGTATTTTTTTTCACTGTTGGTTCTTAGGCGAACATTGTATGGACGCAAAACATTGTCCTTTTGGGCCTTATCCTCACATTATGCTAATGATGTCGATTTATTTATATTTATCCCGCATTATATATCGATACTATTTAAAACTATCGATTCGATATATATCGATATTTTTCCCTTGCCCATCCCTAACTGGTAAGCGAAGTGCGGAGTGCGCATAGATTACTGTATATATACTAGAGAGGAGTGCGGATCGAAAATCACTTAAATAATCGATATTTTTTTTATAATAATTGTAATGAAAAAAACGATCAGGTGGAATTGATTCCAAAATGAATTACCTACAAATTGATATATTTTTTTTTATAGAAAAGTTCTTGTTTAAAATGAAATTTGGTTTTGCCGGCAACGCATTTGCGAATTGCAAATGGTGTTGCAGTTGTTCATGGGCGGCGGTAGTCACTTACCATCAGGTGAGCCGCATGCTCGTTTGCACCCTCTCCTATAAAAAAAAATTGTAAAAAAACTGCAAATTGTATTGTATATAAAATAAAAAATATAAAATAATTGTATTGTATCGTAAGTATATTGACCAGATGTATCGTAAGAAGAAAGAATGTATCTAAACTATATATATATTTTTAATAATTTGGCTATCAAAAACCAATTTTAAAACTGACAAAAACTGCTCGCTGTTGGGGGGGGGGAGCACCTATTGAAAATCTATTACTTAAATTAAAAACGTGTACGCACCGAATCTTGGCCCCGATGCTATATATCCTTGTTGTGAGGTGGTTGTGCCCAGTTCACACGCGCTTGCAGGGATGATGATAGTGGTCGCGTAACAAACACACATGTATGCGATGTTAATAAAACCAGCCAAAGTCGTCAAAACATAACTGTACGGACCAAAACCTAAAAATAAACGTCACTATAAGTTCTGTTAAGCATTGTGGACTTAAGAAAATCCTGATATCGTTATCATTTGAATTGTAAATTCGATATTTGGTATACAAATTACAAGAACTGTAATAATTTTGAATAAATCGAAGTTTGAATTTCATAAGTTTACGAGTTTTCACATAATTTAAACATTTATGTCTATTTTCAAATGCATTATGAAAATTATATTAATGCAGTGACAGAATAACATCACTAGCTAAAAATCATTTATTACTGAAAGTTATAGCCGTTTCTTTACCCATGTAGTTATAGCTTAGTTGAACAAAGAATGGTACCTAATTTTCATAGATATTTTACTGGCAGACCCCAGAGTAGGCAAAGCCTTAACAATATCTTGTGGACCAGAAGAACGATGTTTTTATTAAATTGTTAAAAGTAACCGAATATATTTTATATATGTTTAGGTTGTCATTCGACATCTTCGTGATGTTATAGACTGATTTTGATGATATTTTTTTTTATAAAAAGTTCATAGATACTTAAGGGATGGTTTAATTATTGACAATTTCCAAACCTAATGGTAGAAAAATTGGAAATAGTAAAAATAATATAAAAATAAAAATGAAAAATATGAATTATAATTTAATTTATATTTTTTTTTTATTATAAGAATATAATGGTGTTTTTTATAGGTTCGAGTGACAAACGAGCACACAGTCCACTTGATGGTAAGTCGTTGCTGTGGCCCATAGACATCTACATTTATCCTCGTTTGCGAATCAAAACGCAGATGCGTTGTCACGCGTGAGGAATAAGATGAAATGCCTCTTTTCCAGTAAAAATGGTCTCCGGTTTCAGTTCTCTACACTCACCATACGAAACACAGCAATGTTAAACTGCTATTTGACGCTGGTATTCTGTGAGAGCGTGGTCCTTCCCCGGTCGAGCCGACCCATTCGTGCTACAACTATACTACTAATATATGCTCTACCGCGTAAAACAATTTGTAATTTTTATTTAAATACAATGTAATTTTATTAAAACTACTTTATATTATTCCGACGACATTCTTATCGTTTTCTTAAGCTTGTCATACTCCTTATTGCACTCAAAAGGTTTAAAAATTTGAGTTTTAATAAAAAGTATATAATAATAAAACAGCCTTTGAAGTCGGGGCTTTATATCTCCTATATATTGTGTTCACACCGACTTCATAAGTCAGTACAGGGATTTTTTTTATTTTTGATTTAAAGTGGATTTTTTAATAACGGTTAAAAATTAATTTTTTAAAAAAGCAAAGAATGTTATTTATATTCAAAATACATTTATACAAACCTGCCCAATCCAATGCAGCTTCGAATTGCATTTTACCGTCATTTTGAACTTTTGTATCGACACTCATTTCTTTGAATTAAGTGATTGTAAACACTCGATTAATTTAATTTCCTTGTTTTATTTATATATATGTACACCATCACGAACGTTGCAAATTCAAATGTAGAAATTTAGAAAACTCGACATTCGTTATCTTATCATAATATTCGCGATTAGAGATTCTATCCGACGTTTTATCGAATGTAACTTTGTTGACTAAAGCTCTCTTTTCACTATGGGATATAATATGTATTATATTCCGAGATATAAATTATATCCCGTGATTGGCTTTCAACTGTGAGGTATATCTTTTAACCAGTGTGCGTTCGTCATTGGATTACATACGAGTAATTTACACCGCACTCGTCGTTAACAAACAAAGCTTGATAGCCTCGACAGTTTATCAGAGAAAGATGATGCAGAATTCGGTTTATGTGTGTTACTTTTAAGTAAAAACAGGGCGCGTCGATACTGGATATCAAATTATATAAAGTTTAGAGAGGAATATGGTGAATTTAGACCTTTTGATGAATTCTATTAAGAAAAGTTACGAATACAAATTAGAATACGCACTACGCAAAAGTTCATTTAGGTAATGACAGACACATAGATTAATGATAAGTCATGTCAGAGCGCGCGATGACTTATCATTAGTCTGAGGACAGACACGAAATTGAGAACGTAGCGGCGGCGCGGAACGGTGTCCGGGGGTACGGGTGGCGAAATATAATATAAAATATCGCTCGATCAATCGAAAAAATATTTATAGTATGAGATATATTACATCTCAGTGTAAACGGTTCCATTAAAAAGTACGGTGAGCGATATTAATTTATATCTCGAGATATAATATATATTACATTATTATATCCCATAGTAAAAAGCGGGCTTTATTGCTTACACTTGCGCGAAGGTATAGTACAATTAACTTAGAGTAGGTCGCGCGTGTATCGTACCGACAAATTTATTTGAAAGGTACCTATATATATTATTCAACTTCAATTAATGGAATAGGTCGATCGGTCGGTCGGTTCAACAGTGGTAGAGCCACGCGGCAGCTTCTGCTGTTGGCAGCATTTCATGGCAGCAAGCGATAGGATTTTTGTAGTAACATCTATTTAATAATTACGGTTAGTGCAAATGACTTATAGATGATACAATGATTAATGAGATGTGACAATGTGATACATATATGAGTGTAAGTTGCTGTATAAATGCATGTCTATGTCTAACAATTATCCTATAGTTCACGTGTTACAGTGCACGACACATTCATTCACAAGGCACCTCAGACTTAGTTGAACGATTAGTCATAGGAGATTTGGCGTATATCTATCGGAACACTTTGCACGTGACACACATTCACCACCACTTCATTAGCACTGCCACTATCCGCCGGTTGTGCAGCCTCCGCAGGCTGCCGCTGGTCGTCCGAGGAACTTAGAGGATCCCGTCGGCGCCGCAGCGAGTAGGTGACACCTCGCTCTTAACCGCTGAAATGCTAAGACACCGCTCACAAGCAACAGTGAGCCGGTGACGATATGTACCCAAGCGCGTTGTGGTGTACATAGTGAACTCTTAGTTCACCGCGAGACTGTTCCTTTTACTTCCGCTATTTGCATATTAATCACACGTCATTTTTGATCTTGCTCGTCTGCTCGTAATTTTGTGTTAAGTCCAATAATAGATGTTTTAATTAATTTGTTTAAAATTGACACCTCTGGGGATTCTATGTTTCCGCTGATATTAATTTTATTGATGAAATTATTGTGTGCAAAAATTGTAAAGTCCGTTCCTTTCATAGTACACATAGAGCCAAGATGTAGGATTCCATTACTTCTCAGTTGTTGTGACGACACTGTCTGGGCAGATAACGCGCACTGCGCATTCTTCGAACACACGAACAGCAAGCTGTTATATCGGCATGTAACTTAACCCAGCTCTCTCGGCAAATTGTTACTTCTGACGAACAAGGTGATGTGCTCGTGCCAATATTAATTAATTTAATGTCGCATGTGGATTGTTTAATGCTTATATCGTACACAGGCTTATCTAGGGAGCATAATCATTTTTCTTCAGACAAATGACGGCAAGATAAAAATTCGAAATCTGATAAAAATATAACTGAGTCTCTCCTGACATTGAAGCCAATATAAGGAAAGTTGGAAATAATATTGTACTAATGATTGTTCCGTTTTTATGGTACACCGATGATTTTGTCTAATTCATAGATGTCACCCCTAATAAGGTTGTATTTATTTCTATAATTAAATATTTGTCGTTGATTCTCACCGAAGTGCGTAGTAATTTATATAATTCGTAATATTGGATCTGTCTACTGGAAATACGAGATTGCCGTGTAGTTGCCCAGATATGACAATCATTTGCTTCTGCAATTGCTCCTGCAGCAATATATGGGTAGTTATATGCCCTTGATACAATCTAAAGATACCATGCCCTTGCTTTGTTTTGTGGTGGCCCCAATTTTTGATACTGATACATGATACTTTGTGCGGCGTAGTCCTGGTTTTTGGGCTGGGTTTTCTGAAATGAGAGAGATCTGAAAGCCTTGGTCTAAGAGTGGCCTCAGTGTGACGTAGGTACCATCGTCTGCTTTAACCTTTAATGATACCTTTGATGATAGTTGATTGACCGGCAATTGCGTCATGAATTAAAGTATTATGTTCACCGTTGCACTCTTAGCACCGTTTATTGGAAATGCATTTATTGCCATAAAGCTTAAATGAACAATTTTGACAAATGCCATGTGACAAATGAAATTGTCCTCAATTTCGCATCCGCTGGAAGGTTCGTGAATGCAAAAGGCATTGGAACAGTTGATGATCAAAATGATACATATAGAACATGTACATACAAATAGGACATTGTTGAAAGTTCGTTACTAACTGCTTGATAATTTCTGTATTGAAATCTTGACTGATAGTTATATTTATTCGGAGCATATTTAGAAGTGTTATGTTGCGGCGACGATATGATTTTAAGACCTGGCTGTTCCTTCTCTCTCTTGTTTAACACTAGAAGCGCCGCCGTCCAATTTTTATCCCACCCGCAAGTTTGATCGTCTCTAACTTTTTACTTTTTTATTTAGGTCGATGAACCTTTATGACTTTTATTTATTTTATGTAGTGAACTAATTTAAAATGTGTGCAATTTTATAACAAGAATAGTTTATGAAAAAAAAACCGATTTACCTAGAACTGCCGCTGGGTCATTATGTGCCGTTGCTGTTTTAATTAATAATTCGATCTACGGTTTGTACCCTAAGGAGTTTATACAATGTCTCGTAATCGTTTTTGTAGGAAAATTAAGTACTTTGATTCGATGACAAGTTTGATAGACGCTAAAGTCTGAGCGAAGGCAAATTTGCTATGATCTCCGAAATATGTTATGAATTTATTACCTAATGAACTAGTTTGTTACATACGAGTACCAGAGCCATACATAACGAGAAACGAACAACGTTCTCCTTCTAAGTGCCTGCTGCTGATTCACCCAGTTTATGAGTTCTAAACCAGACAAATACGGACAATAATTTTGGGTGACTGAAGACAGAGATCAAAATGATGTGATAAATACGTTTGCTTATCTTGGAAAAAATTATAATAGACCAAGTGAGCATTTAGGTGACTGGGTTGTGAAGAAATTTACCATACATCAATAAGGGCAGATATGCTACTTATAATAACTTTTCACTTCCCTTTCATAAGCAGAATATTGAAGTCTAAAATACTAGTAACGTAGGCACAGTCAATAGAGCTCGCAGAGAAATACCAGTTTCCGCGAAGACGACAAATCAGTAATTTCGTACATTTTTGCTAAAAACAGGTGATATATATCTTTGACTGTTTATCGAGCTAAACCTAATTAAAGTTCCCTAATGCTCAGTACCATGCATCCCGACATAATAATGGACTCTAGAGGAAAACACCCTGACTCTGTGTTATTTTAAAACAGCTCGAATTTGCAGTAGATGTCGTAGATCAAATGAGTCGTAAATATAAAGGCGCCTTCAAGACGTTGGCCAGTTCATAAATTTTATAATTTTTTTATATTTAGTGGGTATAAATGCATCGGTATTGTATAAAGTTATTAACAGCAAAATTAAATGCAGAGACTTTTTATTGGGAAAATAATTGGGAGCAAAGTATACAACTAGTACATATAGAGTCTTCGATTTACCGTTTTTCTGACAAGTCTAGTTCATCTATGCGCTCCTAAAGTATATAAAATGCTCGAATATTTATTCTTTGTTACGACAGTAATCCTTCCTGCTTTTCCTCGTAACTTGCGAGAGTTCTGTCATTGGTTTCAAACTTACTCCACAAGTCACCTAACGCGCGGACCCTCTTCTCAATGTAGTACCGAGTCTTCTTAATGTAGTCCAAAGCTGTCTTTGCTAAAGTTTACGCCGATGCGCTCTATCTCGGCGATGAGTTCACTCTGCCGTACCAATATATGTGTAACTATAGATATTATCCATGATATGTGGAGAGAAGTTGATGGGGCAAAGTAGAAAGTAAATAAAATGGAAAGATCTTACTTGATACTCGACGATTAGCTGAGCGGTAGCTTCCGGGTCAGCCTGTAATACCACTGCGCTGCTATGTATTGCTCTGCGCTGCTATGTATTGCTTTTAGCTGCTAAGAGGTACTAGGGTATTCCTTCATCAAACTCAACTTACATCGAAGTTGAGCTTGATGGAGGAATACACTAGTACCTCACTTCACTGTTTTCTTTAATGATATTACTTAATAAAAGTTAGTTTAGATACACATTTAATGATGTAAAATGATTGTCACTACACCTTTCAGTTTTAGTATGATAAAATATTACCTCAATTTGACAATATAATATGTTAGTCAATGAATGATAAGTTTAGTTAATAAATTTACTGAACTGTCCACGTTTGGAAACTCGCGATATTCGACGAAATTTGATACACGCGACACGAGCTCCCACTTTGACCTCCCCGCACGCTAGATCAAAGGTACGAAGGACTGACGAAAAATGGCGCTTGTTCGTTAGTTCGAAGGACCAAAAAAAATGTAGAGTTGGTCTAGTAGGTTTTAGTATTTAAAATTATAATTTAATATGATATTGATAATAATAAAATGATTAATAAAATATAACGACTGCTTGATATGAATGTTTGAAGGTATATAAAAAGTACTCTGTGGTTTGAAGTGCACTACTCGCCGAGTACTGGGCGTTAAAGTGCTGTGTAATTAAGACCGCTAAGTTAAATAAAATCAGTTATTAAAATATGTTGATAATCTAAATACTTTAAATGTACATAAATTATCTTGTTTACATTGCCTTACATACAG